CAACTCCACGCCCCTGCAAATTTTCCATTAGTAAATAAAAATTGATTAGTAAATCGATTTTTATTTTCACCGATTCGTCATTTTGCACGATTGATACAGTTTCGGACACATTATTCTTTTTGCTCAAATCGTTTTACAATTTGGTTGCAGCTGCCTGAAGGCCCTTCATTCTATGATACTGGTGAAGTTAGTGGGCCCCTTGAGAGAACTGGGAAAAGGGTAACTTCTATGAATTCTTGCACATTAAGCAGCAGCTGCATTTGAAATGTCGGTGATTGGACTTCGATTTCTGTCGGGACGAGGGCATCCATCAGTCAACTAGCTTGGATATATGAACTTATAACACTTTGATTAGATATAAACTGTAGCATTTTACGTGATGATGATTTTGTGTAAAACCTTTTCACTCTATGGATGTTCAACTCTACCAGGTGTGGTAACTCACTTTTTGTTTTTGTGCGGAATTTAAAACATTTTTGAAAAATAGTACCGCAGCAGCCGTGTAAATGGTATTTGGTACATTTAAATAGAGTGAAGATGGATAATCGTGGGTCTCGTATGATCTCGTAGAATTCAGGAGTTGGGCGCAATGTCCGGAACAGGTGCCCCGACCTGAACGATCAATTCTGAAGGAGATCTCCTTCGGCGCAAGGCGCATAATCCGCCTTCGGCGATACGCCTTTGGCGCTAGGGAAATCCCTCAGATTTTATTCAATTCACAATTCCTTGACTTGGTTAGGATCTTGTTCGAAAGAACTCAACACGCTCGTTCTAACGAGCCCAAGAACGCTTGGAACGGATGAGGAATCAAGGAATTATGATTATTGGAAGATACGGAGAAGGTACGCCTTCAACGGAAGGAGTTCGCCTTCGGCGGAAGGGCTAGGTCGACGGACGAGCCGCCTTCGGCTCAGCCGCCTTCGGCTCAGCCGCCTTCGGCCCTAGATGTTCGCTTTGGGGTGAATTTCTTTGTACGGCGCCTTCGGCGCCAGCGCATCAAGATTAGGTAAGTGCCTTCGGGGGTAGCAACTCAGTACGGTCCGCCTTCGGCCCAACGCTCTCAGCGGTACGGACATGTGCGCCTTCGGCGGAACAGAGCTCTGGCGGCAAAAGCGCCTTCGAAGGGACAAGAGGGATCGACAGATAGGACAAGACCCGTTGACTGCGGTCAACGCCTTCGGCACAGCCGCCTTCGACGCTGCGCCTTCGACGATGCACCTACGTCGACGGACGTTTTCAAGAAGTCCGCCTTCGGCGTTGGGAGTCAACGCCTTCGGCGGTAGATGCTGCGTTCGGTTGCTCTCAAACGGAAGCGGCCATTGGAGGAGCTCTCCAGTCGGCCGAAGCAGAAAGCACGCAGGCTCGTATTGCCTGCAAGTAGCGCGGAGACAGGACGTGCCGCCGGAGAGAAGGAGACACCATCCTCGGAGGAGGATGTGAACACGCGGACGGCAGAGGGGTCAGCGGACCTCCCTACACCAAAGGCACGGACGCCTTCGGCAGAAGCAAGACGGACTTCGGGTCAAGAAAGACGACACGCGGCACCGATGAATGTGCCGGCAACGGATAGGAGTTCCGCACGAGCACCGTACGCGGACTCGCCTTCGGGGCTGGGGCCTTCGGCGCAACGGAGGAAGTGAAAGGAGCCAGCGGAAGATCCGCCTTTGGCGCAAGGGCCTTCGGGCCAAGGAGTTGCGAGTAGGCAGCCTTCGGGGAAGGCGCCTTCGGCGGTAAGTCCGCCGGAAGATGCGCCTTTGGCTCAAGGGCCTTCGGGCCAAGGGACTTCAAGCGAGCCGCCTTCGGCTCAACCGCCTTCGGTGGAAGCGCCGCCGACAAATGCGCCTTCGGCGGAGGCACCTTCGGAGCAGGACCTATTGAAGGAGCAGGACCTAACAGAGGAGTGGAATGACCGTCAGAAGGGAGAAACACGTGTGCGCTCCGCACAATTGCAATCCGCACAAACACCGTCCGCACGAACGCCTTCGGCGGTGGACGCCTTCGGCAATGCGGAGTTGGTAGAAATCGGACGGGCGAGCGGTGCGAGTTTGGCACTACCAAAATCCTCCACCGCCTTAGACATTCTGGCCGGAAGTAGTGAGGCAGCAGCGGCAACAGACGACGCAGACACTACGAAGCCCCACTCACGAGAATCGTCAGAGAATTCAGTGGCGACTGAAATCCTCAATTTGGAGGATGACGAAGACGGAGAAACGGAATAAGGATCGAGATCGGGTGAGGAGGAGGAGCAATCGGTGGCAGGCAAGCCGACGGCGGCACTTTGCAAGCAGGTGGTACCTCTGTTAAGGTATCTTGATCGCAAGGTGACGAAGTATGCAAACCCCCGCCAGCCTGGGTCCTACGTCGAGTTAGTGCGTAGGCGGACTCGCACTAAAGTCCGCACCAGCAAGTTGTTGGCACGTCTGGATGGGGACATTAAAGATCTGCGGGAGAAGAATGAGTGCCTGCTCGGCCACATTGCTCTTACGTGGAAGATGCACCAGGCCGTCGACAAGTTGCGCGATGAGAAATTTGAAGAGGCGACGAAGGAGTTCGCCAAGGAGAAGGCGAAGCTCGCAGATGAGCTGGATTCTGAGCAGACTCAGAATCGAATTTTGTCAGAGGAGCTCGTGCGGCAGACACGGTTGCTGGAGCAGTGTCAGCTCGCACGGCAGGCGGATGAAGAGTTAATCCGCAAACTGCAATCAGAATGCGGGGAATTGAGAGCGCAGCGTGCGGACGCAGAGTTGCAATTAGTGGTAGTTGAAGACGATCGCCGGCGGGAGGCAGATCGCACGAAAGAGGAGTTGGCGAGGCGAGTCAACCACTGTCTCAGAGGTTACACCCACTCGGAAGTGGCGGCGCAAGAGAAACTCACACTGCGCGAGTTAGAGCTTCGTGCGGCGGGTTTGGTGTCAGGTGATAGTCGGAGCCGGCGGCGAGTAGCAAAGAAGTTAGATTCGTTTCTGTCAAGGTCGCGGAACGCCATGGCCACCCTCGAGGCGGAGGTTACGGCGGTGTTGCGGCGGCTGGGACTGCGCAGTCGAGCGGAAGACTGGGCGGGTAGGGAGTTAGTGCGCGGCAGTCCGTCGCAGAGGAGGCGAAGCACGGGATCTGCAAAGTGTAGCGTAGCGTGGTTCCGTGCAGGCGTGTAGCAGGTAGTGTAGTGTTAGTTAGGACTTAGAAGGTATAAAGTAGTTCAAGGTGTCTTGCCTTGGGATTCTTCCAGCTTCGGAAGTGCAGATCAGGAACTCATTTTCTCTGTGTGTTTGTGTCCTTAGTTCTGTCACCGCGCAAGATGAGCTACAACTTGGCGATCCGCATTTTGTAGCTGAAGGCCTTCGGCCGAATGTTCAGAGCTAGTGTACTGGTTAGAGACTTGAGCAGTTCTGGATCTACACCTGCGGGTGATCGCCGAATGCTCAAAGCTAGTACCTAGTTAGATACTTGAACAGTTCCCCCTTACACTTTCGAGTGATTGTTCCTGATTGTACTCCTACGGGATGTTTCCCCTGAATGCCAAATTGAAGTTTTGTTACTTTGAGTTAGCCTTGGTTGTAATTCAGGTTACGCTGTAGCAGGTGCCTTCAGGGCAACCCCTGTAGTACTTCTGGGAATGACAAGTGCCTAAGAATTCAAACTCTTCAATAGACTGTTATGGTGTGCTACTGGATCGTTTCTGAGTTGAGTCTCTCAGTTTGGACCTGTGTTCTCCGCGCGTTTTGTGAGTTGAGTGTGTTGTTCACCGCGTGTGAGTGACTTCGATCCGAAGTAGGAAGTCCACTCCGGGTTCCCTATGCTAGCAAAAACTAGTGGAAGGGTTGTAAAAGCCGGAGTTGGGAGTCACTACCCGCAGATTCGCTAAGTGTATTCGCGAGAGACTTCCCCCCTGAAATCTTAAGTAGAGGTCATAACCGACCTCTGAGTTGTGTTTCTATAGTTTCAGGTATGTGTGTGTGTGTGTGTGTATGTGTTGAGTGAACTACGCTGCACTGTGCGACCTCCGAGTGATCTCCGAGTGAACACTTGCAGTATTTCTGGGAGTGACAGTCGCATGAGAATTCAAACTTTTCAAAAGTCTGTTAAATGTGACACTTTGTACTCTGTGTGTTGCCTCTGTTCCTGTGGGTTCGACCTTTCTACCAATATATTACAGTTTTAGCCTTTGGTGGGTTATTACACCAGGTCTTCGCTTGGAACATTGATCCATGGGGTTATGGGCCCAGCACAACAGCATTGTATCAGTCACATCCTTGGGTTCTTGCGCTCCTTCCAGATGGAACTACTTTCGGAGTTTTAGCTGACACCACTCGCCGAGCTGCGGTAATACAATATTTGCTTTTGGAGAGATGTACCACGGCAACTTGATGTAACTCCAAGTTGCCGATTCAGATGACATTGGGATTCTTAAACTTTCTGATGAGGAAGCAGGGTGTATACTGACACAACATATCTACTTGTGGATTTCATCACAGATCGATACCCGAAAGGCGTCTACCATCCGTTTTGTAGCATCTGGATCGTATCCTGTCATAACATGTGGACCGTTTTCGTCCCCTGAAGCAGTCCTGACTGCTCTCTCCAAAGCTACAGGTACATTCCAAGAGTTGAAGTCTTGTCAAATATAAGTTTGCTCTTGAGGGACGGGTAGCAATGCTTTCATTCGTTATGTCATTGAGTTCTTTATTAGCCTGCCAGTTCTTTATTAGCCTGCCAGATGGTGTCCTTCAAATTCATTGATGATAAAGTATTAACTCCAGTGGTTTTTATTCCCATGTCGAAATGTTCTCTTTCAGGAACTCTGGCAATGCCGCCAAAGTGGACGCTTGGGTATTAACAGTGCAGGTGGAGTTAGGAAACTGCAGATCGAGTTGCAGAGGTGGGGAATTTTCTGAATGATTCATTCTTATCAACGCTTAGAAAATGTATATTCTATTGAAGTGTCCCTCTCAATTCTCCATCTTTAGACAGAAATTGAAGAAGATGTTCTCGACGTGTTGCAGATTGCCACAACATTTTGAGAAAAGAAGATACCTTGTGACGTGATATGGATGGACATTGATTACATGAATGCTTGGCGTTGTTTTACGTTCGACCGTGTAAGTTTACTCGTCACCTCTGATGTTAATAAGAAAGTTCTTCTTCAATGTGAAATATCTGCGGAGCATGTCCAGAAATATAAGTCTGAGCTGTCCATTACATGGACTTGTTGTTGCTATGGAATACACTCATCATGTCCACGTACAGTGGCGAGAACTGAAGGTTCTTTCCAGCTTCGAGTTTTATCAATAAATTTCATGGTGTGTCTGGTTTGTATCCAGTTTATGAATCATGACACCATTGTCGGGCTATGAGATTGCTTTCAATAACACAGCACATCGGCTTGCATTCTCATGTGCAGTGCTGCCACAGAGAACTCTTCACGTAATCCAGAGACACATGTTTGTGTACTAGGTTTCAATCTCTCGCTGATGGTACAATGATATGTGGCCCAGGAAACGTTTCCTGAACGAGCCAAGCTCTCCGATTTGCTGCATGAGAGGGGTTTCAAGGGTGTGTGGATGCTTGATCCTGGTATCAAGCAAGAACCAGGCTGGTCTTTGTATGACTCTAAAACGGCTGAGGATGTTTGGGTCCTTCAGGCGAACAAGAAACTTTACGCTGGTAAGACTGACTTCGGTTTGTACTATGTCGTTCAACGTTTTCCTAGGACGCTCCATGGAACTGCATCAAACGAGTTTTTTTATGCACATCTGGAAGTTGTACAAAATCCAATGACAGAGATAACCATATGCGCACAAAATTCTCTCGTCTTCGACACCAGTCTTCAGATACCATTGAATGGATTGCAATGATGAATAGTTATTAATCCCATGAATAATGTGTCTTTGCAGGTGAAGTGTGGCCTGATCCATGTTGTTTCCCAGATTACACTCAAGCAAAAACTAAAAAATGGTGGGGAGGGCTGGTAAAAGATTTTGTCAAGATCGGTGTCAATGGGATTTGGAATGACATGAATGAACCTTTCAGTCTTGAAGGGACTCATTTTGCTCTTAAGCTTTGATTTGGTTTTTTGCACCTTAAAAAGTGTCTTCGGATGAAGTTAATCTTGAAATCTCCGTCGTGCGCAGAGTTTGTCAAAGACGATGCCTGATACAAACGTTCATAGAGGAGATCAACATCTCGGTGGAAGTCAAAATCACCAGCACTACCACAATGCACCTATGCTGGATTTTTTGCTTATCTCCGTGATGGACAAGCAATTGTCACTCAACGGAAGAAACAATCATCCACATAGCAATCCAAGAGCTTGAGGGTGTTAATGTGATATATTAGAGGTCTTTTCACAACGAAGTATGTGAGTGCTAATTAGAGATGTCAACGGTTCGACCCGAACCGGGTCGAAACCGGTTCAACCGGTTCCAACCGGTTCAATCAAACCGGTTCGGCTCGAACCGGTTCCAATTAGTTCGGCCCAGCGACGGACCCGGTTAGAACCGGTTTGAACCGGTTCGAGGAGCGTCATCGAAATAGCAGAACCGTTAATGCACTGATGCACGCTTGTTACCGTCCGTAGGAAGGTGCATACGCTCTTAAACGACGTTGTATTAAACCGCCGTCCTGCCGATTATTGGTCCATTTGCTCACGAATAATCAGTCACGACGTCGAGATTTCGCGTTGAACGCCAGTAGTGATTGCAGCTCGCATATTGCTTGCACAGCGTCATCGCCAAGGCGAGCACGACGTTTGTTGATAGTCTTTCCTGCACGCGAGAACGCGCATTCACTCGGCACTGACGTTGCGGTCAGAGCCAGATAGTCGCGCGCCATAAGCTGAATGCGCGGGTACATTCCCTGATTGACCGCAAAACCGGTTCCAATCTGATCGGGGACGTGGCCGAACCGGTTCCAATCAGATCGCTACCAAGGCCGAACCGGTTCGAACCGGTTCGGATGGTTGACATCTCTAGTGCTAATCCGATTTGGAAGATGGCGGACATCATCAACATTGTGGAAACGTGGAAACATGAGAGCAACACTATTGGAGAGATACCAGGGCTTTACTTTGGTGGGATACACTTGGAATCAGAGAAGTCAACGAGCTGGAAGAGGCTATGGCGGTATTGCTACTTTCATCAGATCTCAATTTCTACCTCAGATACATTTAGAAGGTCAAGATATTGGAGTTCAATATCATTGGCTTTGTCTTGGATTGGTTGGAGGATCTTATAGTTATTTGGCTGTTTGTTACTTTGCACCATTGTCCATACCTATCTACTCCACACGCACATGCAATCGGAATCAACCTATCCATTGATTTATATGAGATGTTTTCAATTATCAAAGCAAAGGTGAAGTTTTTTTGGTTGGAGATTTCAATGCTCAAATAGGTTGTGCACAATTTACCCAAGTTGGTGATCTCTTGAGTTCTCCGTCATTTGAAGAACTTGAAGATAGTATGTGGTGTAGAAACTCTTCCAATATTTGTACAAATCCTTTGACAGAACACTTTCTAACCTTTGGAGCTACATGTAATTTGAAAGTTCTCAACGGTATCTCTCTCTTTCCCAACTCCCTTTCCAATACGTGTTTTTCTGCTACAGGTGTTAGCACCATTGATTATCTTCTATCTTCAGCCACTCATAACTCTCTTATTTCGAAATTTGATATTCTAGAACCTCAGCCAGAGTCAGATTATGCACCTCTTTTATTTACTCTCTTGTTATAAAAAACAATCACTCTCTCTCCATGCCATTCTGTTTTAGCTTCTCCCAAGTTTCGTTTAGATCCTAGTAAGAAAGAGCAATACATGTTACATTTTCAAAACCTTTTCACTCACACTTCATGGAGCCTTGATCCACATACAACGAGTGGGCAATTAATAGAGTTGCTCAAAGACACTGCTTCTAAGTTCTTTTTGCGGCACAAGGATCGAAGAGCTAGGGGGCTTCCCTGCAATGGATGGTTTGACTTGGATTGTAAGCAAGCGAGGATGAGATCAGTTGACAAGTCTTTGGATTTTCAAAGTCGGCTTATCTTGACAAGGCTTTACAAAGACTTGGTGAAGTTTAAAAAACAAGTTTTTTTGAGGACAAAGCATGAATCTTTGACAAAGGAGTTGATGGAGAATCCCAAATCCTTTTGGAGATGGTTAGCTGTAAGGTTTTCAAAACATACTCTTGATCCCAAGAGTTTGATTGACTTTGCTGAAAAGCTTTATTTCTTTCCCAACGCTGCATCAATGTCTTGTTGTGAAGGAACATCAGGCTTATTTTCTGAATCAGAGTTGATGACTAAAGTCAGAAAATTAGCAAATGGAGGATCGGAAAATTTGGATGGTCTCTCTATTGAACTTTTGAAGTGGGGAGGAGATGTTATTGGACCAAGACTCACCAAAAAGTTAGACAATGCTGCTATGTATGGTTTTCTTTCAGCTTGATCATTACGGAAGATTGTGCCTATTCACAAGTCAGGAAAGAAGGACTTGGTGACAAAGTATCGCACTATCATGGTGGGTAGTGTTTTTGCCAAGTTGTTTGGCAAATTAGTGGAGTCAAAGTTGAGCACATGGACTGAATCTCATCAAAAGAGAGCGCGATTTCAAGCAGGCTTTCGCCCCACATACAACATCATTGACCATATCTTGGCTTTGCGTGTTTTATGGGAGAAGTCGAAGGGCAACGGCAAAGCTTTGTTTTGCGCCTTCATTGATTTTAAGAAAGCTTTTGACACCGTACCTCGTGAGCTATTATGGGAAAGGCTACAAGTTATTGGAGTACCATCAGATCTTCTAGTAGCTGTGGCCACGCTTTACCAATCTGTTTGAGCCAAGATCAACACTTCTCAAACTGAAGAGATTTTGAGTACCATTGGAGTGATTCAAGGTTGTACTCTCTCTCTCCTACTCTATTTGGAATTTTTATAGATGATATCGAAGAGTGATTGGAGGCATGTGATAGTGAAGGTGTCTAGCTTGGAAACTTTGTTATCAAAGTTCTCATGTATGTAGATGATATCATATTACTAGCACGTGATGCAATTAGTTTACAGAAACACCTATACACTTTGGCTAGCTTTTGTACCCAGAATCAGATGGAGGTAAATATAGAGAAGTCCAAAGTCATGATAGTGGGCACTAGATCCAAGTTTTACTTCTATTACCAGGATCTACAATTAGAAGAGGTGAAGAGTTATAAATATCTAGGCATTGACTTTTCTAATGATTATAGTTGGGCACTTTGTGTGCAAAAGAGAGTAGAAGGTGGTTACAAAGCTCTATATTCATTGCTAAATCGGTGTAGAAGGGCTCATCTTGTGTCTTGAAGTCTTAGGAAATTTTTATTCAGAAGCTTAGTGTTGCCGGTAGTATTGTATGGAACCCAAGTGTGGGATCCTGGTTGTAAGAAGACAGGTTGGGAGCGTGTGGAGAGGGTGTAGAAGATATTTCTACAAAAAGAATTGGGTGTGAGAAACCAAACCTCATATGCTATTCTTCTTGCGGAAACAGGTTGTTTACCTCTAGAGGCTGAAGCTCTATACTTGACCATCACTTACATGAGAAGGGTGAGATCTCTTGATGCTTCTCGCCTTCCTCCTCAAGCTTTGAGTGCCACACGTGCCAAAGGATGGTTAGCGGATGTGATAACTTGGTCTTTGAGGTGGAAAGTGACGGAACGCGATTGGGACCTACAACCTATAGCACTACGTGAACGTCTAAAGGAGTAGTTTCTGAACATTATTTGGAGCAAGCGCGGCACCAAGATGCAGTTTTATCAACTTCATGTGAATCCTATGCTTGTTTATTGTGAACTGTAAGACCAGATATTGCATGTGTGAAATAAAACTAGAATTAGCCAAGGAGTTAATAATGATTAGGATAGTTATGACTAAATCTAGCTAGTTATGACTAAGTCTAACTAGTTTAGCTATAATGTCTATACTTGGCGGAATAACTAGAGAAGTTCTAGAAGATTTGAGTGAGCATTTCTATTTTGTCTTGTACAAAAGTCTAGATTCCAAGAGAAAAGACTTTTGAACTTCATGTTTAGTTTTGATTGGTTTGACTAAAGTAAGAAGTATTCCATTGGTTAGACTAAGTCTAATGTTGACTTAGTGGAAAGTGGAAGTTCTAGAAGTTGGAAAGGCACAAATGGCATGTCGCCACCTCAATCTAGGGATTAGTAAACATCTAGAAGGTTTAGGGGGCCAATGGCATGTTGCCACATATTGATAACTAGTCAACCTTACTATGGTTTATCTTCGTAAAAGTAAGTTAGATAGAAATTACCATTTGTTACTATGGTAAATTCTCAAGTAGTATATATAGAGAGGTAGGGAAGAGCCTCTCAAGCAAGTTTGGAGAGTTCATATGTAGAGACTTGTTTCATATATGAAAGAGTGACGAATTTTCAGTACCTTGGAGTGTCGATGAGTGTATGAGTTGGAGTGATACCTTGAGAGATTGTGTGAGAGGGTGTTTAGCTTATGAGTATGATGCGGAATCCTAGTCTTCTAGAATCATGATGAGCTACCGAAAAGCCATCTGAGGTAAACCTGGGTGAGAGTCAGCCCGGAGGTTGCATTTTTGGTTCCGTTGCCGGGACCTCAATCTAGAAGGCGGAATGTTTAGGATTCGATTTCTAGCTAGAGAGAAAGTATCCATGAGGGATCACTTGGTGTTAACATTGGGGAATGAAAGAGCGGAGAGTGTGCTTGAGAGCGAAAATCCCTTTGTTTATCCAATAGTCTCATATGATAGCCTAGAAGTGATTTTGTACGTTTTGAACACGTAAATAGGTCTTTTTGAGAGAAAAGTGATCTTAGACACCAAAAAAATATTTTGGAAGGTATTTTTCAAAGTTTTTATTGATTTTAGAGTGGAAGATAGAGAACATTTACGTTTTTTTTCAGGTCCAGATCATGTGTAAACAGAAAGATATGAGAGTTAGAAGTTGAGTGGGTTTTCACGGGTACCAAAAGTTTGCTCCCTGGAAAGTTTATACAGAGTAAATTACTTTTTGTGTATTTCAATTTAGGCTTTGAAACTTTGTATGCGTGTGTATTTGAAGTATACGTACGTGTGAGTCAAAAGTTTACTGAGAGATCACGTCTAGAGACGAAGTTATGATGATTTGAAGTTCAGGGGGTACAAAATCAGGATAAGATAGCAAAAGTTTTGGGTTTCTCTAATTGAAGTTTTGGCCTA